CTGGCCCAGGAGCCAGAGAACAAGAAGTGGCTGTGGGATCCTACAGCCCTGCCTACTGTTGAGTGACTTCTGTCTCTCTGGATCTCTGTCTCTGTACGCAATAGAGAACTGCCCCAGCTCAGGAGTGGGTGGCAAGTGGTACAGGGAGCAGCCTGCAGTAGTGGCTAGAGCTTGTCTCTCTAGGAGGAGCACGTGGTTGGAGGGTCGGGAGCTCATGTAGAGTTGCACTGCTGCTCAGGCCTCCAGGTTTGGCTGAAATGTGTGTATTGCCTGGCGGTCCAATGGTTAGGACTCCGCACTTTCACTGCCGAGGGCACGGGTTCAATCCCTGGTCAGGGAACGAAGATCCCGCAAGCCGCGAAGAGAAGCAAAAAAAAAGTGTGTCTGCTGGGGTGGATTGCGGGGAGGGGCTGATGCAGAGGGTGGGGTTGAGGATCCCCACTCCCCACCCCAGTCCTTGGCAGCCACCCACGCCCACTCCCTGCCCACCCCAGCACACCAAGGATGTGTCCTTTGAAAGGTCCACACTCCAGATGGGTGGACATATGGTGATTTCATCATCCTGGTTTTTCTTCCAAAAACCTCCTCTGTGCTGCTCTAACGCGCCACAGGGGCTCCCAGGCTCCAGGGCCACAGCGGCTGCAGCCCCATGTGGCTTTATAATTATCAATCCCTCTGGGAGCACAGGAAGCCAGGCCCAAGCCCCCTCGGCCCCCACCCCTCTGGCCCTTGGGCGCCACCAAGTCTGCGAGTTGCTTTAGGGAAGGGTGGGTCCCTCCTGCTTTGTTCTGGGAGTTGCGTGGGGAGCTGAGCTCCCTGCACCGACCCTCACCCACACCCTGATCGGCCTCCCCGAGGTGCTCAGGAAAGGTGGCCACTCAAGTCGGGCATCCATGGGCCCTGCCTCTGGGAAGCTGGGGTCACTGTCTGCATCGGACACCTGAGGGGAGAGTACGGCTGAGCCCCAGCAAGTGGCAGAGCTGGGATTCGAACTCCTGCCTGTCTGCCCTGAGGTGCTGCTTTGAATGCTGAGGGGCAGGACTGATGGGTGGGCTTCCTAACCTTGCCACAACCTGGTGGCCTTGAGCAAGTCCTCTGACCAGCCCACATGAGATAATAAGAGGGCACTGGGTGGGAGTCATGATTAACCCTTGGTTTATCAAAGAGCAGAAGAAATGTTTATTGCTCTCACCTGGAACCTCCCAGTGTAAAAACAGAGCTGCTGTGCGGGCCCGGAGGCAGTGGGTGGGCCCCCCCCCCCCCC